ATATATATATTAAATATTAATTTATAAAAACAATATATTTATAAATATACTGTGATGGGCATTCGCAGTTTGGAAGGGATGAGTTTTAAGATGTGATGAAATCTACATCAAACCACCTCTATACATATATTATGAATAATATGAAAGTATTTAAAGAAATTTATTAATAATATGAATAAATTGTGATTAAATTGTAATTGAATTATTTAATGCAGGAAATCTTCCATGGTTTGATACATTTAACCATTATTATTTTCAATCCTATATTATCAATAATTGATTATTGCCTGTTAATTTTTAACCAGCTCTATTTTTAAACCCGTTTGGTTTTTTACAGTTGAAACACAAATAACGATTCGTTGTTTAACCCTCTAACTATTTAAACATTAAATGCAGTTACAGAACAAATATTGCATGCTCTCTATGATTTTTTGCGTTGTTATTCATACTTTTAATTTACGCACTACAATGCTTCGGGATGTTTTTTCAGAACTATTTTTCTCATTGATCCGGGATACATTATATTAAAACTAATGTTTTAATGTTAAAAGAAACACCAATATTTCAACAAAGCAATACCTGGTCTTTAAGGAGATTGAAAGTGGCATGGGAGTTTGATGGAGAATCGTAAGCTTATCTTACCAAACGGTTTACAACCAATAATAAACTTAGCTCGAAATAGCTTTGACTGCCAGTGGGCACCCCTGTACATAAACATTCTATAAATATAAATACCATCCAGAGACGTAGATTTCACCTACTGGTTTTACTCCACAGATCATCTACATCTAGCACCATTAATTCATAAATCAAACAAATTCACCAAAACTTTGTTTGTCGGTCTTAATAAAAGTCCAACTGTAATTTATTATAATAGCATCATTGTTATGAATACATAGTAAATGTTTATTGTCTTTCAGTTGACGCCAAAAACTCTACAAACTTATACCACAGAGAATAGACCAAGATGGTCTATTGTCTGTGCTCATACACACGATAAAAAGATTACATGAAAATTCATTTCGCAATAACTCAAAAAACAATGTTTGTAAATATAGTCATTAATTTCATTCCAAACTAAATCTTGTTTATAGTTTTAATATTTATTCATGTTTATCTTATAAAAATATTGTAAAATGTATTTGCCTAGATTATTTTCCAAATAACCTGTGTTAGCATTAGTAAAACCATATCGTCTCAACATATGCATAATTTATAATCAAAATATATTCATTGGCTTATTAAAATTATTATTCCAAACAACTTCTACACTTAAAATACCATGCATCTGGGTTCAAGATTACAAACAAATTTCAACACATGTTTTAAATATGTGAACCCCATAAAATGATGAAGAAACGATTGACATCAATGAACAGTGCAGTTAAGGTTTCCACGAAGAAGAGATTAGCAGTAAATATTTTAACTTAATTGTGCTAAATTAAAGTGCAAAGTAATTCAAATTATAAACTAAAGTGTAATAATTGAAGAAAGAAGGATTAGGCCAACATTATCCTGAAGCAAAATTACTTATAAAAGATTGGGGAGAAAATTCCATTTTATTGTTAACTAAGACTATAGACTACATCAGCATCCATTTTTAGACTAGTCCTACCTCCATTTCTTTAAGATCAACCAAAGGAAAGAAAAATTAATCGGAATCAAAATCTTACTAAACTATTATTTCCAAATTATTATTTAATTTTAAACTTAACTTATTGAATTTTATATTAGGCCTATAAGAAATCTGTTGATTCAGCCTACACGAATCCTCACCCCCTGAAGAGTTTCTTAACATTAATTATAAATACATCTGTCTCTCATCATTCCTACTATTAGTTAAGATCAGAATAAAAATAACATTAACCATATTTAGAGGTTTATTTCACCTCTCAAAAATTTTATTATTGTTGATGTTTGAATATACTTTATGGCTTGTCTTTAAAACGTTAACTATTAAATAAAAATGAAATTGAATCAAGAGTTTTTTTAATTCTTACATACTATTATTAATAATTGCTCTTATCACAATGCCGAATGTTTTCCACCAAAGGTATACATGTTTGTTTCCATATTTTGACATTTTTATTTTAACCTCTATAATTATTTTGCCAAACTTATGTCAATTGCCTGATCCGTTCTAAAATTTTTAACTGTGTGGTTTAATAAAAACTCAAGGTTGTCCAGTGGTCGTAAACTCGACCAAAAATATTTAGTGTCCAGACCTCTCTATTTTTACCCCACGCTGTAAATTAAAAATATGATTTTTAAATTCTTTTCTTGCTTATTTAATTTGATAAGGGGATTCTGGACATCTACAGGAAAATACGTTATTTTAATGTACTAGCAGCAGCTCACATTGAAACTTAGCTCACAGTTCAATATGCAGAGTAAGAGCAAAAATGATAGAAGGGAGAATATGTAGTTACCTGTGAATAAGAATAGAAAGCAACAAAACAACTGCCACCAAGGGAAATATAATGGCGGCTTCTATGATTCCAGCGTAAAAAATGTACGTGTTTTAAGAAGACGATCCTTTAAAACCTTACTTACACGCCCGAAGCAAATTTAGTAATTCTTAAGTAAATTAATTCCACCTAACAAATAAATACACTTATTATACACACTTATTAATCTTTTTGTTTTCCCTCTTATGAGGGATTAATTCCTGGAAACGAGAAAATTAATTTTGGTTGAATTCAACGAACCGCGCCTTCAATCGACATAAGCACCTTCATTACAAATAATACATTTGTTCTTCATCTGAATGATTTGTACAGACAACTTGAGAAACTAATTAAAAGATTTTTCATAAGTCTGCATTCAAAAATAGCCCATTTTATACAGCTGAGATTTTAGGAAAACCGTCAATTCCCATACACCAAAAACAAATAGTGATCAGCTGACGTTTCTTCAAATAAACATTACTTTCGTTACACAAACAATACTTTGCCTGACATCAACAAAGTTACAACTGAAGTTCCCATGCTCGTCGATCTTCAATCAGCTGAATTTTACACTAAAATTAATTGTACAGCCGTTTGTGTTTAGTAGAAAAATACGAAATATCAGATATTTTTTTTTAAGTTTGATGAAGTACTTTTTTATTGTGATAAAAAGTATCGTTCAATACTCGACACGTCAATACGCCAAGGACGGGCACTCTGCTAGCTACATAATAATTTCAATATTTTAGTTCTTCATCTGAATGATTTGTACAAACACCTAGGGAAACAATTTAAAGACTTTTTACAAGAGAACATATGGCAACAGATTACTCTGTTGAGTGAAAAAGTAATACTTTGAAAATATTGGAATTGGCAAATATTTCAACACCATGATAACGAAGAGTATAGCAAACATAGAGTTATCGCTGAAGTATGGAGTGTGTCAACAACAAGTAGGTTGTGGTCGCAATACAAGCTTTGCATTTCGAGGGTACTTTACACATGAATGTACATTTGTGTAACCTGCACCACACATGTTGCTCGTTGTACAGAATACTGAATCAAATTGTAGAAGAATTGTACTTTAATTTTTAACGGGAATATTAGCGTAGTGATTTGATAAACTAACACTACGTAAAACTTTTTATTTACTTCGAAGTAATTTAGGACAAACTTGTATTTTAAGACAACGGTATAAAAAACAATGGTTTTTGGGCCATGTCATTGGTTAAAAAACTAAAAGTTTAATCATACTTTCACAAGATTGCTTGGATAAGGGATGTGTAAACAACATAATGTATTATTACTAAGTCAAACTTAGAATGTATCCATCTCTTGTTACAATAGGTTATTGCATGTTTCACAATTTATTTGCCAAATTATTGAATTAAGTAAATGCTTATCACCTTACTGCCTAGTTTGAAAGTCGATTTATATATTTACCCTACTTACCTAGTGGAATTATCAACTTTATAATCCACGTTTGTAAGCCTAAATGCCCTTTCTTAAGCAACTGACAATTTATTTGATTATTTGATAATTTATAAACTGATTATTTGAGTTGTAATTTGTATAGGTACATGCAATCCATGTAAATATATTATTATAAGTTTGAACTTTAAATCAGAGTGTACGTTCGGGAAAGCTTTCACAATAATCTGTTGTGGTTAAGACGGATCACTAACGCTTGGCTATTTTTAGAATCCCTCTTGATGGAATTTATATTAAGCTGTTAGCCTGGTGACAGTTTCTGATTAAAGAATAAATCGGTTTCTGAGTGGATGGGCATTTGTCAACGAACTGACGGCAGACATGGTTTCCTTGGTAATGCGTTACATAGGCCTACAGACAGGGCGCTTTATTTGTATAAATCTTTGTATCGTAGGAATTTGTATTCAAGATACATTGTTTTCGTACATTCATATTTAGTACTTCTTTGGTCAAGTTTGTTTTTAAAGCAACACTCAAGTTCTATGTTCAAACAAAGCTTGTGCAGAATAAATGGAATAATCTGTGTGGAAATATTGACTAAAACTATTTAGATTACAAATGCCGGTAGCATTTTCAATGCATTAAGGTACATATAACAAAAAAAGGTACATACACAAATTACATTAAAATTGAACTACAATGGATAGCTCTGACAGCCACACAGATATTAGAAAGCAGTATTATATTTAGTTCACAATATTTAGACGGTTTGAGGGGAAGTTCCCCACCACTATTTTTCTATTTAATGTATGTTGCTTAATGAACTGTTGAGCTATTATTTTAAAGGTAAGGGTCAAGTGGAGGGGATTGATTTCTTTCCCTAAAACCATATAAATATTGTGAACGAAGTATAGTTCTTTACATGAATGAATATATCATAGATGATGAAGAATTTTTTTCAGTACAGTTAATTATCATTATTCAGGGAAATACTTTCAAATGAACAAATACGTGCAATTTGTATTAAGGTCATAATTAGTTTTTCTGTATTAAATCTTAAAGAGTTCATCAAGTTCATGGCAACTTAAAGTAGGTTAAAGGAAGAGAAAAATAAACTTCACATTGGATTACTTGGTTTATTACATAATACAATAATAAAATATAAAGCCAGTATATCAATGTTTACAACGTTTAAATTTAGTGTCGGGTTTGTATACAATGACATTTAAAATGAATCTCAGCATCGACAGGTGCCAAGTGGTACAGTATACACGATGTTGAGGTGACACTGTCGAATACCTCGTGAACATAAAACAAGATGACACCCTACTAGACACATACAGCTATATACAGCACATGTAGTATTGAAATAACAAACTGAATGTTCAAAAACTGTAAACTCCGGTAAAAACTACTTATATTACTCTATGGGTTTAAAATTGCTTTAAATGTATAGGCCTACACTAACATTTGATCTATCGGAGATGAGACCGGGTACCAAGCAACCCCGGGTTCGATCCTTACTAAATTACGAATAAAAAACATATGTAAAACGGTAAATGCATAGAGTACAGAGCTACGTCTATGACAGCTAAAAGCCCGCTCATTGGACGTAAATAAATATAAAAAACTAAACTAAACATTACGAGTAGTCGGAAACATCTAAAGTTAAGACATCGAGACTATAGAAAAACTATCGAACGTTTGTGTTTCCATAGTCTTGCACAAAAGAAAAACATCCCGCTCCGAGGTTCGACTTTGACCCGAAGTAACAATAATACTTGAGATGTGGAGTGAAGGTGGTCAACCAACTAGGATCTGAGAGAATGTTGATATTTGCAGAAAGTTGAATGGAATGAAGACATCTACTGTCGGTTACGTCTTGCCCCTAGAACACCAAAACAAAAACACACCTTGTAGTCAGTGATAAATATTTACATCAAATATCTACATCAAAAAGGGTTTGAAATACGTATTTAAGATTTACGTAAAACTAATTTTACAATGTATCAAATATCTTTTATACTGTGATATTTTTATTTTAACAATAACATCCACAGTTTCTGTTTTATAGTTAATTTTAGTTTATTTTAATTCCACTACGGAAATTTTTTACAAGGGAGAAATTCACAGCAAACGATAAATCTTACTCCCATCAGGTGTTGGCTACTGATTAATTGCATTAGTGACAGGGCTTAGTGTTGGATAAAACAGTAAATGTTAAACAGAGGATGCCATGAATACGTCCAAGGCTGAGCATTTCATGCATCTTCATAAAGGGAAGCTATGTAATTCTCCTCCAATCGTTATTGTTCAGCTAAGGAACCAAAAATATCCTATCCTATATTCTTATATGAGCAGTGTTTGGTTGTATGTATGTATGTATGCTCGCTTGCACAAAGATCTCGAAAACGGATTCGACAATTTTCTTCAAATGTTGTAAATAGTTTATTTCTGACCTAAAAAACGAGTTTACTGCAGTTAGAAGTTAGAACTGCCAAACAAAAATCTAATTACGTAGAAAAATGAAACTGAAAGTCACATTTTTTAACATTAGTCTTATAGGTTGCTAAGTAGCCATGTTGGTTGAATTAAATAACAAGGAAAAAGTAAACAAAAGACTTGTAAGTTGTAACATGTGTTCATAATAAGCCATCTACCCACAGTATACTAGCAAATTACAAAATACAGTACAAAAGGAAAAACATCACTTGTTACTATTGAGCAAAGATTATACTGAAGATGACTTTATAAATTTTAGTAAAGGCTAGCAGTGCGTAGTGTGGGATCTGTTTATGACGATTAGATTAAGGTATCTGTAATCCCAAAATGCCATGGGAAGGGAAGGAAACAGATCCGTGACGTAGGAAGTGGGTGAAGGAAGTAATAAAGGCGAGCTGTCCGGAGTGTGGGATCTGTTAATGACGATTAGATTAAGGTATCTGCAATCATAAAATGCTATGGGAAAGAAAGGAAACAGGTCCGCGACGTAGGGAGTGGTTAAGGAAATAGTAAAGGCGAGCAGTGGGGAGTTTGGGAATTGATTAATGTATCTGCAATACTAATACTGCTTTCAGAGGAAACTAATTATTTTCCCCGAGCAAAGCTCGGTCTCCAGGTACTCTTCTATGTTGACGAGAAAAAAGTCAGATATGAGAATTAAATAATCTGTTTTTAATAAAATGATTGTATTCCTAATACTTACAGTAATGTTTTGTGAAGATAAACAAATGTTCACAAATGATAACCAAATGAGCCAAGATTTCAACAGAGAAATTAAAAGCTTTCGTGAATAATATAATTTAAAATGAAAGTTTTTCTATTTAAAATTATTTTTACAATATTTACAAGACCTTGAAATTCGTCTTGAACTATCATAAAATTTGGTTTCGGTTTATAAACGAGTGTAATATTCACGTTTGTTTACGGGGTTTTAAATATTGCTTTCATTTCAAAACATAACTAGTTAAAATATAAAATATGGATTAGTTATACTGTGATAATCGTTATTTTATTACTAGGTTCATTTTGATGTTGCACTGCACTATCAACAACTTAATTTTATTTTCATTATGCTTTGATGATTAAAAAAAACCCTTGTCATTAACAACATGTTTTGTTTACATATAGTGTACAGCGCATTTCAACTTATCAAATAAAAAAAAAAGAAAATACTCAACTATTAAATCCTGATCTACTAGAATTTCCTATTTATAACCAGATTTTGTAACGGAAAATTGTACATAAAACAAACCTAACTGTTTTATGTTAAGAATACCGGTGTTAAGAATGGAGAACTGAAAATGTATTGAAGCCCTATATGTGCCGGGGCATAACTATAAGTATTACAGGTACCTGGTAGGTACTATATGAAACTCCATAAGACACTAAACCGACAAGCATATGACAGACAATAAAAATCTAACGGTTAGAGTTCAATATTGGCATTTTGGGTTATCATGTTGATGATATAATTACTGAACGTATCGTTTTTGTCAACGTAAATTGTGAAGAAGTATCTTTGGTCCTCTATGTATGATTGTTGAAGTTATATCAGGAGCTGGTGTGTTGAATTAGGATTTCTTAATGAATTGAGTAGTATAATTGCGAATGCTGTTTGAGTTAATAATTTAAGGGGTGTGATTTATACGTAGGTTTAGGAATTATCACAGTTGGTGTTTTGAATTATGTGATGTGGGGTAAGTTCTTACCCGTGTTCTTGTTGGTTCCCTTTGCAGGCCTGGCCCCCTTACTTTTACACTTCTTGGTGATCTGCCTGGTCTGTTCACAAGACGAGTCGCTCTTGTCCTTTATCGTGTCCGTGCGAACCATCTCATTCTGTGCGCTGCAGCTGCTCCAAGCGCCCTTCTCATAGCGACAGGCTGCAAGCACATAACACGTCCAACTTTAGAAGCCATGCACGTATTATGTCCTACGTCATGCTGCCATGATGTCATGAGACATTCGGTTGATGCAGATTAATGGACATTGAGGAAATATGTTAGAGGCAACAGACAGATAGAACAAGAGCATGAGTAAAATTTAAATTTTAAGGATACACATTTCTTGGTTTAGTGTTTTTGCGTCGACAATATTATAATATAATGATTAATAGTTATGTATATTTTAGAGAAATATTCTGTAAAATATAATAATTTGAAGGGTTAGATTCAAACCTTTGACTACCAAATTTAAAATAGTTGGATTCGAGAAATTTGGATGGATTAAGCTAAGGCTAATTGTAAAAAGACCCAAAACAATACGGTATTCAATAAAACGGCATTAGGGATTAAAAAGCTTCCCTTGTTGATAAACATATCAAGAATCATTTTAAGACATTACAATAACATCCAACCTAAACAGTAATCCTCAAAATGGTCAAAGTATTGTCAATAGTTCCACATGCGCCCACCTGTAAAACCCATGCAAATAAGTGCACTAGTATTTGCAATCAGATTGTTTAAAAATAATAAAATAGATAACTTTTTAATACGCACAGTAATAAAAATTATAACAAATCAGAGTATCTAATGAATAAACTGGTAATATTACTGAAACATGCAACGATCATTATGTCAAATGAAATATTCAAAAACAATTTCCTGGCAGTGTAAAACATCACTCGATCTTACCACATTAACAAGACGTAACGAAACAATCTATATATATAATACGCTAAGCCGATTTTTGTAAACAGAACTCCTCCCACATTTTTGGACCGATTTTGATGATTAAAGTGTCAAAGAAAATGGCCCTGACCTGTAGTTTTGCAAAATGTTTATGGTTTTTTAAAATCTTTATTAGTTTGGGCAGGATCTTCAATCAAAGTTGGGTTTTCTCCCATAAGATTAACACGGGGAAATCTAAATAATTAATTGGAAAATTTGTCTCCACTAATTTGAGAGAACGGCTGAACGTAGAAACTTGGTAGAGGTGTCCAAAGAAAGGCCTTGGTCTGTAGATGAGTTATCAAAAGAAACACGAAGTAAATTCCCTTAAAGCTCTGCCCCAGAAGCCCTTAAAGATACCTCGACAAATTTGTTAACATTTTGGCCATGTGGATAATACTTTTTCATAAAACAGCTGTCGATTTTTCAATTGTGTTTTAAACAACACACATTTTATTGGGAAATACTAAACTGTCCAAAAGAAGTATTTGCAATACTATTTTCTGATTTTAAAATTCATTTCCTTCTGTATCATGTCATGTTTTGCAATATAACATTCCATTACGAAATCAGTGGAAATTCCTTTTATCACAGAACTCTTACAATAATTTCTTATTGAACTATCTGCTGTACGACTGTACGGTTGTTGTCTGCCTTTTCCCCCACTTTTGCCTATATTTTATCATATTATTCTACACATCATCATAGATTCACGAGATTATTGTTATACATGTTTTCAATCATTGGAAAAATCTTCGATTGTGTAATACAATACAAAATTATACAAGTGCAGAAGGGCAAGTTGCCCCTTTGAGCAGTGTCCATATTTTGCTAAATTAATAGTAGTTTACAGCAACTGGATAAACCATTAATTTTACAATATTTATGTATAAATATGTGCATGATTTAGAAAGGCATTAAGCTGTAAAACTGCAATTAGCTACAGACTTTTCAGAGAGGTCACTTCGATGTTCTTCAGCTTAGTGAAAACATAATATAGATAAGTATACAAATAAGAATTCGAACTCTTAGAGAGCCTTTGAATGTTATTAGAATAACAAAATGGGTTGTGCATGTTTACTAACGCTACTCAGCAACAAAAACCATTTAATTTATCTCTAAAAATAAAATATATTCTTAAAGTGCACTGAGCAGCAGCCTCGAAAATACTATGTAACTTACCCATATAGTTACAAAATGCTCAAACTCACATTGTGACATTTATAATTCGGCTTATATTTCTCCAGCAGATTTTATCTGCAGAAGAAGTTTATTGTGCTCTTATCGTGTGTAATAACATCCAAACACAGAAACCTGGCCTAAAATGGTACCTATCTTGAGAAATTATTTGAAGTGGTCTATATTACGGACCGTGGCTCACTGGGTTGTTAACATGATTTAAAATAACACGACATTTTGACTGTAAAAAATACACAAAGAGTAAATACTATTTAAGCAGCTACTGTCATGACAGAAAGGTCATATTCCTTTTAAACTAGATCACATCATCCAGTATAAGATACGTTGTTTAACAATGAATGTAAACGTCAATATTTACGTAACAGCCAATTTATAGTATTTATTGCTTTTTCCAAATGCCGCATTGTTATGTAATTTGAATTATTTGTTGCCAATGAAGCCGCACAACCATATAAACGAGGAGGCTCCTAACAATTCAAGAGTAAAAGCCAACTTCACTTCAAGTATATTCCACTACACCTAACTTTCCGTAGATGAATAATTAGCGTAAGCCTTGACAGTGACCGTCGATTTCGACGGGTTTCACCTAGTAACATAAATACAGATTACACTCTCACGTCTGGCATTTAGATAAACAGTACAACCATGGGCTACATGGTATATAGTAAATGGTACAACTAATCGAATAATTATGTTGATGAAATTCAAAGGGAAATATCTATAAAGCATATTTATTATAACTAGTGGTCTCCTTTTGGTCGAAAAGTCGACCAAAAATTTGTGTTGTGCAAACTTCTCTATTTTCACCGCACGCTGTAAATAAAATATGTTATTTGAATTTCTTACATTTGTTTTCATTTTCTGTTTATATTTCGTTGTAGTTTCGTCACTAGCATAGCAACCCATAAGACCCATGAATATTTTTTTAATTTTAAATTCATTTTTTGTGCTTTTTTGGGCCTATTTTAATTTATAAAGGAATTCTGCACATCTACTTACAAATATCTGTCTAACAGTATACGTTTATCTTCCTTGCTATGCACAACGAGCTGAGAAAAATGGTTTTAAAGAAAAATACTTGCTTATTAATACATAGATTCCTAATTATATATATTTTTAAAGTAAATAACTGATCGAATTATGATCATCTTATGCAGACAAAGCCACAGTGCCTAAGGTAAATAGGTATACTATGCTCTTTTGCGGGCTATCTGATTTCCAAGAACATTAAATTATATTTTAGTCAAAATAATTACCTTGAATTATAATATGCCAATATTATAGTTAAGATCACGTCTGTGTATACTAAAAAATGTATAATCTATATTAATAGAAAGACTAAAATACTCGTAGTGCCAACAGCATTACCATTATAGGTTGTATCGAGTTGGAGTAATATTTATACTCTGTTCAACCAAGGAAACATTACGTCAGCGGTTTGAATTGATTTGCGAAGTTAATTTAACGACAAAGCTTGTAACATTGATGATAGAAAGGACAAATCACCTCACCCTTGTTCAGATATAGGAGGTCTACAACAATGTTTCTCGGGGTCTGAGGCAAATTCATTTGCAGCACAATACCTTTGTTGAATAATTCCTGTCTGGTGTTTGGTCCATGTACTTTGCATTATCCTCGGCTCAATAGGTAGTGGAAAACTAAATTGGTCTCGATCCTTGGTTAATGTTTGTTACATTTAGTTAAAAATGTATTAAATAAATTATATCCTTAATTAAATGTACATTATTGCTATGTAAAGTCTGTGTGTACATTTCACTATTTTAATAATTTTGAATGTTTAGCTGATAAACTAAATGCAAATATATAAACCACTTGGAAAACCTGTGGTTCATAAAATACCCCCGCCGCAGCAAACCTGCCGTCTAAGCGAATTTCCATTTGGCTGAATTGATTTTCAATCGATCTATTTAAATAACATTAGGTTTAAAGAGTACCTAGGTTTGCTGCTACAAGGAAACTAATAAAGTGTGTGTTTTAAGTAAAATAATTATTGCTTAGTAAAAAATGAATATATTTGCCAAGTTTGAACAAAAGATATCCATAAACAAGCAAACTACAACATTTTACAATATTCTCCATAAGAATAACATAGGAATTTTAAATTTACAATTTTTTTAGTTTTCTCCGTAACCAATAACCGTACAAAAACACTTTAATATACTGAATTGTTTGTATTTTTAAGCTCTTTAAGAAGGTTTAGATAAAAATTGGGAAATTTTGTGTTTTGAGGGTCAAAAATGAGAAAAACCAATTTTTACCCCATAAAACCCCCCATAAAACCCTGTTCCCATGGTCCGATCATGCTGGATCGCGAACTCATTCAAGTTTATCCCGCCTTACACCTTCAAACCAAATTTCATCAAAATCGGATAAAAATTACTCAAGTTATCGTGTTCACGGACACATATATATATAAATCTATATATATATATATATATAGATATGCTAGAAGCTGTTAAGAGGACAAAATTTATACACAACTCCTGTTAAGAAGACAGTAACTATCGCCTTATTAATAAGAGGACAGTCTTCTTAACAGGCTTTTGGTATAACACTCACTGTCTTCTTAACAGCTTTTCACGTGTAAAATTCAGGCTTACCAACTTCTTTGTTGGGAACAAGTTTTCCCATCGATTTTCTGGTAGTCTTTTGTCAAATATTCTTCATAAATCATAAGAATTTAAGTAAAGTTTGACCCAATCGTTTAGTTTAATCGTTGTAAAACTACGTAGATAATAAATATCATCCCCTTTCTTTTAGGCTGGACTAAAATTTCGAATAGATGATATAAATCTAATCCTATGCACGTTTCTATCAACGAAATTCCTAGAAATTCAATCCTACTGCCTTTGTTTTTAAATAAAACGATTATTTAGTATTATAAAAACTTAACAATGAAATATGCTTTTATTAATAATAACTACTACCGTCACTCCCGATTCCATCGTCCTTTTCGCTAATTCTCCCTCAATTAATCAACAGCGCGCACTTGC